CCGATCCCGGTTCCAGTCCCCGATCCCGGTCCTAATCCCCCATCCCGCCGCCACCGGGAGCTGAGGGCGCTGCCGAAGCGCTGGGAACCGGAATTCCTGCGGGAACAGCGGCGCCAAACTCAGCCCGGTCCTGCTGAGGGCGGGAATTCGTGAGGGGAGAATTCCTGAGGGGAAGCCCGGAATGACTGTGGGGACAGGGCTGGTTTTGGGGTCCATGGGGTGATTTTGGGGCGCTCTGCGATGATTTTGGGGGTCCTGGGGAAGTTTCTGGGGTGGTTTTGGGGCGCTGGGCTGGTTTGGGGTCCCTTTGGGGTTTTGGGGAGTTCTGCGATGATTTTGGGGATTCCGGGGGATTTTCTGAGGTGGTTTTGAGGCGCTGGGCAGGGAGAAGGTCCTTGGGGTGATTTTGGGGGGCTTTGTGAAGTTTTTGGGGATCCCGGGGAAATTTTTGGGATCATTTTGGGGCGCTGGGCAGGGGGAGGCTCCCTGGGCTGGTTTGGGGTCTTTGGGGTGATTTTGGGGCGCTCTGCGATGATTTTGGGGATCCCGGGGAAATTTCTGGGCTGGTTTGGATGTCTCTGTGGGGTTTTGGGGTCCCTGGGCTGCTTTTGGGGTCCCTGTGGGGTTTTGGGGCGCTCCGTGATGATTTTGGGATCCCGGGGAATTTTCTGGGCTGGTTTTGGGGTTCCCTGTGGGGTTTTAGGGGGGGTCCCTGCGATGGGAGGAGCCTTTTGAGGCTTTCCTCTATAGATTCCCCTATAAAATCCCCCACTCCGCTCCAGCTCACAAAAACCCCGGCGGTTTCTTTGTCGCGATGTCCCCGCCCTGTCGCGACAGCGGCGACCGGAAGTAGCGCCATGGGGGACCTGAGTGCGGGAGCACCTCTGAGGTTGGTGCAGCAACAAAAACGCTCCGGGTGGAACCAACAGCGAGGGGACCGCAGGGACGCGACCCTGGGGACATTTTGGGGACAGACAAAATCCCAAATTCCACCCCAAATTCCCAAATCCCATCCCAAATTCCCACACCCCACCCCAAATTCCCGCCCCCTTTTCCCGCTCCAAAAGGCACCCGGAACCAGCAGCGCTTTCCATACGGAGCTTTATTCACACGCGAGGGAGGGGCCGCGGCCCCCCCCCAAATACAGAATTCGGCGCCCCCTTTTTGGGGGGACCCCAAAAATCCAAAACCCCCCCCTCCCCCCCCGCTGTGGGGTGAGAGGAGGAAAATTCCCGAAGGAATTCCCGAGGGAATTCCCGGGATCGGGGGAATCCTGGGAAAACCCCGGGGGAGGGAGCAGGGCCGGGTCTGTCCCTTTAAATTCGGATTTTTATATTTTTTTATCCATTAATTTTTAATTTTTTTTATTTAATTAATAATAATAAATAAAAACCTCGAGGCTTTAAAAAAAAAAAAAAAAAACCAAACCCCCAAAAAAACCCGCCAGGAATAAAAGGAGGAAGGGAAAAAAATGATTTAAAAATTAATGAGTGAGCCCCAGGAATTAATTAAGAATTAATTAAAACTTAATTAAGCCGAGGAGGAAAATTGGGGGGGTCCCCTGGCAGTGAGCAGAGCTGGGAGGTAGCGCTGGGTTGGCCCCACCACCCCCAGTTTGGGGAACCCCCCATACCTCAATTTGGGGACCCCCACCCTAATTTGGGGACCCCCCCCCAGTTTGGGGACGTCACCCATGGGACCCCCATTTTGGGGACCATCCCCATTTTGGGGACCTTCTCCTTTTTGGGGACCCCCTTCATTTTGGGGACCCCCCCTCCATTTTGGGGACCATCCCCACCTTGGTGACCCCACCCATTTTAGGGACCTTCAATGGGACCCCCCCAGTTAGGGACCCCCCAGTTTGGGGACATCACCCATGGGACCCCCATTTTGGGACCATCCCCATTTTGGGGACCCCCCATTTTAGGGGAGCACCCCCACCTTGGGGACCCCCCCCCATTTTAGGGACTTTCAATGGGACCCACCATTTTGGGGACCCCCACCCTAATTTGGGGACCCCCCCACTTTAGGGACCCCCCCCCAGTTTGGGGACGTCACCCATGGGACCCCCATTTTTGGGACCATCCCCATTTTGGGGACCTTCTCCATTTTGGGGACCTTCTCCACCTTGGGGACCCCCATTTTGGGGACCCCCCATTTTAGGGGAGCACCCCCACCTTGGGGACCCCCCCCATTTTAGGGACTTTCAATGGGACCCCCCCATTTTGGGGAAACCCCAGTTTTGGGGACCGTCCCCACCTTGGTGACCTTCTCCATTTTGAGGACCTTCTCCACCTTGGGGACCCCCCATTTTTGGGACCCTCCCCATTTTGGGGACCCCTCATTTTGGGGAC